CTTTCCCTTCTTTTTCAAATTTTTGAAGCAGTTTTATAAAAAGTATTTCTCACTAAAACACTTCATCCTTTTGAAAGTGTTGGATGAAAGTTCCATGTTTTTTAACTGGGCATCACACATTATCAATTGGATTTGTAGATGCTGGTGATTGACAGCTATTTCATATTCTATAAAATGATAAGAGACTGTGTTGTGAAGGTGCCCTAAAATAAATTTTTGTCTTTGATGATGACAGAGTGTGTATCATAGAAATATGTTTGTTTTTTTTTTTCATAAAATAAAATAAGACTTTGGAACATAAACAAAACTTGTAAGAAAATGGTCTTATCCAACACACTAGAATTACAATGTTTTAGAGATATTTGGTGCAATGGCTACAACAGAATTTATCTTAAATGTTATCATGGTTCAGTTTCTTGAAATTTTCAACAGATTCTTGAAAATATTTTGTGAGTTCTCACTTTAGGTTTTATTTATTCTTTAACACATTTTTTTCCCTTTGTTCATGCATAGCAGGAGGTGGGGAGAACACCCTCCACAATCAGTTATACTGTGATCCTCCTTGAGTCCTTTAGTTTGTTAGATCCTTCACATTTGCCTGTACCCAACGTGTTTCAGGCTGACTAGGATGGGGATTTGAACTGTGGATACCATGTGTGATCCAACTTCTCTTGAGCAGCACTTTACCAATATATTATGGAGCTGGCTCAGGTTTCATTTATTTCTAGTAGAGGAGTATACATTGTTACATTTTGAGTTCCCATTTTTTCAAATGTCTTTAACAAACAAAAATTATATTTTGTATGTGCAATAAAATAATTTAATTTATTTTTATTGGAGGACTACTAAAATTAGAAAGATTCACCAGCTAAACAAAGCTACATTAAACAACTTATGCAACAATAATAAAATTTTAGGGCAGTTATTAGAAATTGCACGGCTCAGATTATTAAAATAACTATCTCTCCTTCAGGAAGTTTTTATGAATTTTCCATGCCTCACTTATGAATAAATGTTTTTCCTTCAGTTACATAAAATTAGATTTAAAATTCTGAATCTTATCTCAGTACTAACCCTACAGAGGGAAAAAATCTCTGAGATATACTAAAACTTTGTAATCTAGGGCTGGCCCTGAAGCTCAGTGGCTAAGTGCTGTGCAGAGGAAGCTGGATCCCACATGGCTAATGGGGGTTCAAATCCTGACTTCCGGTGCAACATGCTAGGCATGTGTGAAAATATGGCCAGGACCTCACCTGGATGGAGAACTGGAATAAAATGGATTATGATATGACTAGGCTCCATTATGGGTTGCTTTCTCTCTCTCTCTTTCTTTCTGCTGCTCTAGCTCTCTCTCTTGTACACATAGTCTATTATGAATGAAGGAAAACTTTTTTTTTAAATATCATTTCACTTTAGGAATAAGTAGAGAGGTTTCAAGTATTATACATTTTTTTTAGAAGTTTTTGTCTTAGGACACATGCACTTGCCATATAGAGAGACAGAGACAGTGACATTGAGAAGGAAAGTGAGAAATCACTATCTGGGGAGATGGCCATGCCACCATCCCTTCTCCTTATCCTCCCAGGATCTTGGGGACACATGTACATGTCCTTGGCATGAATTTGAAGCCACTAAGTCTGGGAATCACACTACAATTTGCCTTGTAGGAGTCCAGCAACATAACCACTATCCCATCTAGTGGTCCAGTATTATGAATTTTGTTTTCAGAGAGAGAAATAACCCCCCAGAAGGGATGGCCACACTGCAATCCCTTCTCCTTTAGTCTTCTCTCAGGATTGTGGGTACACATGCAAACACACCTGGCATGAGTTTTAAGTTACCTGGTCTGGGACTCAAACCATGGTCGACTACATAGGAGTCCAGTGATGTAACCATAACGTCATCTGCTCAGTGTTAAGAATTTTTAAAAAAAAATATTAAATCTATCAATCATTGAACAGATTTATTTTAAACACATAATGCAGGCTTAAATTGTGTGGTCTGGAGAGTTGTTTTCTGCATGGTTTGTTTCCCCAGTCATTGTCCACAGGATTCTGATAAGCTGTAGGAGTATGTTAATGCAGACACAAGGGCCAATTTCACCCCTAACATTGTGGGAAGGAACTATACATCATGGGGCAGAGCCCTGTGCTCTCCTATGCCCCCTCTACAGAGCCCCAGTGAGAGCGACCTCCCAGGGATATCCACATTGGACACGTTTTATGAATTTTATTTACTTCATACTTTGAAAAATATATATTCTTTACCCCTACTTCAAATCCTTTTTTTTGTGTGTGTAATACAGATTCTTTTTCTATTGAGCACTTTTTTACATAGTTTAAAAGGCACCAGTCTTGGGACCAGCAGTTAACATAATGGCTATGTTGCTGGACTCCCATGTTAGTCGACCACTGTACTCCCACATGGTTATCCACAGTTCAAGTCCCAGACCCAGTGGATTGAAACTCATGCCAGGTACATATGCGTGCATGCCCAAAATCCCAAGAGGAGAATAGAAGAGAAGGGATTGTGATGTGGCCAACCCCCCTGGAGGTGGTTTCTTGCTTTCCCTCTGTCTCTGTCTCTGTCTCTGCCAAGCACACATACTCTATAACAAAAATCTCAGAAAAAAAAAAAAAAAAAGAAGAAAAAAAAGGCACCAGTCTTACATATACAGACCAATCAGTTTTGACAAGTGCCTTCTTTAACCCTCACACTTGTATACGTGGGATACTCCTAACACCTACAAAAGGTTTTATCATATCTTGTCCCAGTCAAATCTTAACCTTCCCCTATGAACCAACTATTGTTCTGACTTCTTTTACATAAGATTAGCTTAGCCTCTTCTAGCACTTAATATAAATAGAATCATATAGTGTGAATTCGTTTATGACTGGTTTCTTTTGGTAAGCATAATATCTTTGAGAGGCATTCAAGTTGTTGCACATATTGATAATTCATATCTTTTTATTCCTTAGAATTCCATTGTATAAATGCATTATAATTATTTCATTTTCCTGTTGATGAACATTTAAGTTGTTTCTAGATTTTGCCCATTTTAACTGAATCTGCCATGGATTTTCTTATGTAAAGCTTTTCTAGATACATGTTTTCAATTCTCTGGAGTAAATTCCTTGGAATAAAACTACTAGATTATAAGGAAAGTGTCTTAGTTCATTTGTGCTGCTATATAATAAAATACCATGGACTGAGTAATTTTTAAACAATATAAATTTATTTCTCACAGTTCTGAAGGCTGAAAATTCCAAAATCAAGATGCCTGAAGGTACAATATCTGGTCAGGGCAGTTCTCTACTTCTAAGATTGTGCCCTGTGCTGAATGCTCTAGAGAGAGCAAACTCCATATTCGCATGGTGGAAAGGAGAAAAGGACAAAAAGAAATGGGTGCTAATTCCCTCAGTCCCTTTTATAAAGTCACTAATCCCATCCATGACAACTCCTTACTCATACCGTAATCATCCCCTAAAGGCCCTACCTTTTAATACTGTCATATTGGTGATAAAGTTTCACCATATGAATTTTGGGGGCCACATTCAGACTATAGACAAAAGTATATGTTGAACTTTAAAAGAAGCTGTAAACTGTTTTCATAGTGACTTAACATTTTATACACACCAGCATTGTTTGAGAGTGTTAGTTGTTTCACATGTTTGTCAATATTTGTTATTACCAGTCTTTTAAGTATTAGTCATTTTTGTGCATATGCAGTGATATTCCATGATGGCTTTAATTCATATTGATTGATAATCTTGAGCACTTTTTCATATGCTTATTGGCTGTTTGTATATTTTCCTTTATGAAGTCTCTGTTCAAGAATTTTATTGATTTGGGACCAACAGATGGAGTGGTGGTTAAGGTGCTGGAATTCCCACATGGGCTACCTCAGTTCAAGTCCTGGACCTGGCGGCTTGCTTTCTAACTCTCCCTTGCTCACTCTCTCTTTCTATGGCAAAACTCATGTGAAATCAATCAACCAATAAATAAAAAACAATTCTTAAAAAAAGAGTTTTACTGATTTGTCATTGAGTTGTTTATCTTTGTTTTATTAAGTTGGAGTCATCAAAAAAGTCAGGACTCATTTTTGCATAGAAAAGCATAGAAAAATATGTCATGACTTTTCTGACTACCCACTATATACTAGATCTCCTTTGTTAGAGTTATGTGTTGCAACTGTGTTCACCTAGGCGTGTTTTGGCTATTTGCTTTCTATTGGCATCTTTTGATGAGACTAAGACTAATTTTCTTGAAGTTAGGTTTACCCATATTTTTCTCTCTTTTAGTTTGGAATTTCTGGGTACTGTCAAGAAAATCTGTCTATGACATCATTTAAAAGAAATTCTCTTATGTTTACTCCTGGATGATGTATAATGTACTATTTATTGCTAGCTCTATGATTTATCTAGAATTAATTTTTGTGTATGATATGAAAAATGGACTGTATGTCACTGTTTTCACATAGGTGTGCTGTAATTCCAGCATAATTTGTAGAAAAGATTTTTCTTTATTCATGAAATTTCCTTGGCACTTTTGTAAAATATCAATAAACTATAAGTGTGGATCTAATCTGGCTTTATTCTCTACGGTTGATGTACTTGTCTGTATTTAACCTACTACCACAGTGCCTCGATAGATGTAGATTTATAGTAAGCTTGATATCAAATAGTTTAAGTCCTCCAACTTTGTCTTAACATTTTTCAAGATTGCTTTGGTTATTTTGGGTCTTTTGATTTTCCATATATATTTTAGAATTAGCTATTGCATTTTTTTTTCTTTAAAAAAAAAGCCTGCTGGGATTTTAATTGAGATTACATGGAAACTACAGATCAGTTTTGGGAGCACTGACATCTTAACACTATTGAGTGTTCTGATCCATAAACATCACATATTTTCCAGATATTTAGGTCTCCTTCCAGCAATGTTTTTTAAGTTTTTAGTGTAGAGATCTTGGGGATATCTAAATGGGCTTATTTCTAAGTATTTTGACTTATTGATAACATTGTATTATTTATTTAATTTTTAATCTTTGCTGCTATATAAATGTAATTGCTTTGCAAATACTGTTTTGTATTATGAGAACTTGCAAATTCACCTACTTGTGCTAGCAGTCTGAATGTTCTACATGTTGGATTATAAGATTTGCAAATAAAGGCAGTTTAGTTTTTTCTTGTTCAATGTTTCTTATTTTAATTTTTTCCTTGCTTTATTTCACTGACTAAGGTTGCTATGAAGTACTGGGACCAGAAGTTGGCGTAATGGCTATGTTGCTGGACTCCCATGTAGTTGATCATGGTTCGAGTCTTAGACCCAGTGGCTTAAACTCACACCAGGTGCCCAAGATCCCGAGAGGAGAATGGAGAAGGGATTGCGGCATGGCCATCTCTCCTGGGGTGGGGGGGTGATTTCTCACTTTCTGTCTCTCTGTCTCTCTCTGTCTTTCTGGCAAGCGCACACACCCTAGAGAAAAAAACCTCCCCCCAAAACAAACAAACAAACAAAAACACTTTGCTATGAAATATCAAAAGCAGACTTCTAGGAGTTATTTGCAATACTGGGGAGTGTCCATTTCTCTTGAGCATTAACTTTGATATTCACTGAACTTTTTTGTATATGCCTTTTGTTATATTAAGGAATTTTCTTTTTCTATTCCTAATTTCTTAAGAGTTTTTATTCTGAATGTGTATATAATTTTGAAAAGTATTTCTTCTGAATTTATTGACATGATACTATGCTTTTCTTTTCTTTTTATGTTCTTTTCAGATGATGAATTGCATTGGCTGATTTTTCTCCTGTTAGTACAATAATTAATCAGGTAAATGAATGAGATAAACCATACTTAGTCACAATGTCTTATCCTTTTTATATCTTGCCATATACAATTCATTAATATTTTATTAAGAGCAGTTTGTATCCATATTGACAAGAAAAATAATAGGTGATTTTCTTTTTTAAATTTATTAGAGGGCATGTGCTCTTGCTGGAGAGAGAGAGTCAGAGAGACAGAGAGAAAGTAACCCTCATGGGGAATGGTCTTGCCACAATCCCTTCTCCATTTCTCCTTTCTAGATTTTGGGCATGTATACACATGTACCAAACATGTTTTTCAAGCTATCAAGTTAGAGATTCAAACCATGTAGTTGGCCATATACGATTTAGCTACCATACCACTTGTTGGCCCTAGTTGTCTTCTAATGTCTGCTTGGTTGATAGCTGGATAATGCTGGTCTCCTAAAATGAGTTGGAAAAGCATCATTATTTTAATTTATGACAGAATTTTTATAATATTGATATTATTTCTTGTTTAAATGTTTAATAGAACTTACCAGTAGAACCATATGTAAGCATTTAAATTTTTTTGAGTTAGTTTACTTATTAGATATAGAGATATTTCAATTTTAAAAGGTCTGTTAATGTGTTTCATTCAACTAATTAGTCCATTTTATCAAATTGTCAAATTGCCATCAGATTTTCACAATCTACCCAAATAATCTCAAAATATCTGATTTGTAAGAATGTTCTTTCTTTCTTATTATTAATAATTTGTAGAGTTTTTTTTTTCTTTTTCCCCTTTCCAGTCTACCCTGAGTTTATCAACTTTATGGGCTTTTTGGTTTTGCTTATTCTATTGTCTGACCTTTTTCTATTTTATTCATTTAGAAGTTAAAATTATTAGTCCCTCTCCTGACCCTGCTTTAGTGTCACTTGACAAGATTTGATATTCTTTATTGTACTATCATACATTTCTGTTTTCTAATTTTTTCCCATTTTAAAGCATAATCACTATATTTATTTTATTTTATTTTATTTATTATTATTATTTTTTTTAATTTGAGGAAAGAGAGAGAGAGAGGTAGAAAGAGAAAGTGAGAAAGCAAACTGTGGTTGGCCATGTGGGAGCCCAGCCCCTCAGCCACCATGCTACCTGCCAGCCCCTTCTCATTATTTTTTAACAATGAAATATTTAAAGATACATTATTTAATTTCTTAATATATGGGGATTTATATGTCTTTGTTATTTATTTCTATTGCCTTCTGTGTCTTAATTCCACTTTTGTTAAGAAATGTATTCTTTATAACTTTATTCATTGAATATTTTTTGAAAATTACCTGAAAGACAAAAATATGGTTTAGGGTAGTGAATATTACATGTGCATTTGAAAATAATGGGGATGCTGCACTGTTGGATATTGTCTTA